ACTGCCCAGTTCTTACTACATTTAAAAGGCAGAGCCACAATGGTCCCAATCTCGCTCATGCTGGCTTCAGGAGCTACCCCCACTGTGGCTCTGCAGAGTGCCTCTCCTAATCGACTAATTGTATAGTCTATACAAATCCTTAACATCCTTACTTTAAATAAATTTACATCATATTGTATAAGCAGTAGTCATGGATTTTTTACAAATTAGTTCACTCTTATGCTAGTTTTTGACTTTGATTCTGGAAATCATGCACAACTCACTGATCTGTTTTGATGTTATTTGTTTCCACACAAAAGAATTAAAGGACAAAGTGCACATTTTCATAAAGCTCTAATCTAATCAAACTTGGTAATAGTGATCTGTATGATAAATGAATTCAAAAAAAAAATCAGCCAATGAAGGTGCTACAATTCTATATTTAACTCAGATAACAGTTTCTGAAATCATTATCTGATCAACACCAGCAATTTTCTACCTGGTTTCCTCTCTGATTAAGCCACTTCTGCCAGTAGGGCTTATACTTCAAGTTTTTAGGATCTACGAAGACCATCCCACAACGGGATACGGTAGCAGGAGATGCATATTGTAAGTCTCCAACCTAAAAAATAAAGTTGCAGTGTGATGGCCACAAATAACTTTAAATAATGAAGAGCAATTATGGCTCCTGCTTTTCAGAATCTGTGAAGCCAGATGTATTAAGTCTTTATTTTTTGTTAAATGATCCGGTCATTATTCACCTCAAATAATAGAGCACAGTGAGCCTGCAGCCTTATGCGCTCCCCATTGGCCAAGGTTAACAACTTGTTATCATCCATTACGGAATTCATATTCTCCACCCAGAGAGCATCCACATCTCCATCAAATAAAATGTACCTGTAGACATGTCAGATAAAGAGATGTTGGACAAGCAATGATTCATCTTCAACAGTTCCCTTATGTTTTAAAATTAACAAGGCACAGTATATCTATTTATTTCATTTTTTAAGTAGAAAGAGTTACTCACCCTGTGCAGTAACGTCTGTTCTTCGAGATGTGTGTCCCCGTGGGTGCTCCACTCGAGGTGCTGGGCTCGTCCCAGCGCCGCAAACAGAGAAACTTCCTTAGCAGTAGCCCTGCTGGCCCGCACATGCGCTCCTGCTGCCTCGCGCCATTCGAGCTGTTACAGCTGAGTGCGGGCCGACTCATCAGTTTCCTCCCAATCAGAAGCATCTGAAAAGAGATAAACAGAAGCTCCGAAGCAGGGAGGAGGGTGGGTCGTGGAGCATCCACGGGAACACACATCTCGAAGAACAGACGTTACTGCACAGGGTGAGTAACTCTCTCTTCTTCGTCGAGTAGTGTCCCCGAGGGTGCTCCACTCTAAGTGAGTACACAGCAGTGGTCCAGCACGATTGGCGTGCTTCAGATTTATGGTCTCTGTGCTGTGGTCAAGACTGCTTGTGCCACTGCTGAATCATTCTTCAAGATTTTCGCAAGGGCATAGTGCTTGGCGAAGGTGAGAGCAGACGACCAAGTTGCTGCACGGCATATGTCCTGTAAGGATACCCCTTTAAGGTACACAGTAGATGCAGCCATGTCTCTGGTGGAATGAGCGCAAGGCCGTGCTGGTAAGGGTTCGTGCTGTAGGGCATAACAACGTATGATGCAGGAGGTAATCAAGTTGGAAATACGTTGTGTGGAGAGCTGTTGGCCTTTAGAACGTTCCGCCGTAGCCATAAAAAGACGCCGCGACTTCCTGAAGGCACGTGTTCTGTGCAGATAGAAGGCCAGTGCCCGTCTGACGTCAAGGGTATGTAGATGTGAGTCTTCAGGTGAAGAATGAGATTTTGGATAGAACGTTGGCAGGCTTACGGGCTCATTTATATGGAAGGGGGAATTTGCCTTCGGAAGGAATGGGGGGTGGACGCGAAGTATCACCCCCTGTGCAGAGAAAACTGTGTACGGTGGATCGGCTGAAAGAGCTGCCAATTCACTAACTCGGAGAGCTGATGTAATTGCCAGAAGGAATGACACTTTCATCGTGAGCATGCGCAAGTCGCAAGTTGCTAATGGCTCAAAGGGTGGACGAGTTAGCACATTCAGTACCAAGGCTAAGTCCCACGGCTCCGGGGGCGGATACAGATTCTCGAGTCCCTTTAGGAATATTTTAACTAACGGGTGAGTGAACAACGAATGTCCCTCGAAGGGAGGGCGGAAGGCCGAGATTGCTGCCAAGTGAACTTTCAATGAAGCATTTGCTAACCCCTCTGCCTTCAGGTGGCAGATGTAGTCCAAAGCTTGCTGCACCGGTAAAGAGAGAGGGTCAAAGCCCCTCTCCAGGTACCACATTTGGAATCGATGCTATTTGTAAGTGTAGGATTTGTGGGTGCTATGCAATCTGCTATTTATCAGTACATGTTTTACTTCTTGAGAGCACGTCATTTCTGGCGGCTGGAACCAGTTAGGAGCCATGCCGTGAGGTGCATGCGCTCGATGCTCGTATACACCATCAAACCGTGCCGTTGAGACAGCAAATTGGGCAGCAGTGGTAGTCGTCGCGGCCGAGCGGGCCAAAAGGGTGCTATGAAAATCACTGTCGTGCCCTCCAGTGCTATCTTCTCCAGCGCCCTTGGAATGAGAGGAAGAGGAGGAAAAGCGTAGAGTAATTGGTGACAACTCCAGTCTAGTAGGAAAGCATCTCCCAAGGAATTCATGCCGACGCCCATCCGCAAACAGTAATGATGGCACTTTCTGTTGTGACGGGTGGCAAGGAGGTCTATACTCAGGAATTCCCAGAGATGGAAAAGATTGCAAACAATTTCGTTGTATAACTCCCACTTGTGTTGGGGAAGGAAGTGTCTGCTGAGGGCATCGGCTATGATATTGTCTTTGCCTAGAAGGTACAATGCGGTAAGGGTTACATCGTGATGGATCACCCAGTTCCACAGCCATATGGCCTCCGCACAAAGGGATCGTGAACGTGCCCCGCCTTGCCTGTTGATATAGTACACCGTGCATATATTGTCGGTGAGAATGTGGACCTCTGGAGGAAGTGCCTGCATGAGTTGAATACAGCTCGCAGTTCAAGGAAATTTATGTGTTGAAGGGACTCTCGTGACGTCCAGAGCCCCTGAACTGGATGGTCTTGCAGATGGGCCCCCAAACCGATCAAAAAAGCATCCGTCGTGATTTGTACCGCGGGCCTTTGTGCGTGGAAGGGGACCCCTGATAGCAGATTTTTGGGGTTGTCCCACCATGCTAGTGAAGTCCTGACGTGTTTGGGGATGGATACTGTTTTGTTCACAGTGTGTACCCCTGGTGTGTACACCGTGAAAAGCCAATGTTGGAGGCTGCGTAGGTGAAGTCTCGCATGTGACACCACATATGTGGTGGCAGCCATATGTCCGAGCAGCTGTAGACACATAAGTATGTGGGATCTGGGAGCAAAAATCAACACGAACCTTGTTGTGGGTAAATATGCCCTTGCACTCAGTGCAACGAGCCTTGCGCTGATAAACTCCAAGTCCTTACTCGGTGTCAGGGATGATTTGCCGAAGTTGATTATGAGTCCCAAAGCCTCAAACACCGTTGTGGTAGTGGTCACTACCCATGTAGTCTCCTCGCAAGTAGGGGCCTTTAGTAGGCAATTGTCGAGGTAAGAGAAGATTGTGATATTGAGGCGTCGAAGGTAGGCAGCTACCACCGCCAGGGTTTTGGAAAACACCCGTGGCACTGCTGACAGGCCGAAGGGTAGCACTTGGTATTGGTAATGGTCTGAACCCACCACGAAACAAAGGAATCGCCTGTGAGCCAGTCCTGGCTCAGAGTCAGGGATGATTTGCCGAAGTTGATTATGAGTCCCAAAGCCTCAAACACCGTTGTGGTAGTGGTCACTACCCATGTAGTCTCCTCGCAAGTAGGGGCCTTTAGTAGGCAATTGTCGAGGTAAGAGAAGATTGTGATATTGAGGCGTCGAAGGTAGGCAGCTACCACCGCCAGGGTTTTGGAAAACACCCGTGGCACTGCTGACAGGCCGAAGGGTAGCACTTGGTATTGGTAATGGTCTGAACCCACCACGAAACAAAGGAATCGCCTGTGAGCCAGATGAATCGCTATGTGGAAATAAGCGTCCTGTAAGTCGAGGACTGCAAGCCAATCTCCTTTGTTCAACGATGGAATGATAGTTGCTAAGGTCACCATCTTGAATCGACACTTTCGAAGGTGACGGTTTAACTTTCGGAGGTCTAGAATGGGCCTCCAGCCTCCCGATTTCTTTGGTGTGAGGAAATACCGGGAATAACAACCTTTTCCCCAAAATTGTTCGGGTACTCTCTCTATTGCCCCGATAGCGAGCAAACGGAGGACTTCTTGTTTCAGCAGTTGCTCGTGAGAAGGGTCCCTGAAAAGGGACGGGGTGGGTGGGGTGGGAGGGGGAATGGAGAGAAAAGGAATTGAGAGGCCGTACTGCACCACTTCTAGTACCCATCTGTCTGTGGTGATGTTGGACCACTGGTGGTAATATGATTTCAGTCGATGGTGGAAGAGATAAGAAGTGTCGTTTTCCGTGTTGATCGAGGGAGACGTGCTTGCAACCTCGACAGGGAAGTCAAATCTGCTGTTTGGTTGAAGACTGGTTGGTTGAACGATTTTGCTGGGGTCGTTTCCGCTGAGGACGTTGCCTAGGGCACTGATTTTCCGATGTGCGTGCCTGTTGTCTGGAAAAGTTAAAATCATATCTTCTCTGATAAGGGTAATAGCGCCTTCGTTTAAAATTGGGCGTGTACATCCCCAGCGTACGTAAGGTGGCACGAGAATCCTTGCCTGAATGGAGAACCTCATCAGTATTTGCTGCGAAAAGTTTAAGCTTATCGAAGGGGAGATCTTCAACTTTATTTTGCAACTCCTTCGGTGCTCCTGCGGATGAAAGCCATGACGACCTCCTCATTGCGATACCCGTAGCCATGGCCCGAGCTGCTGTGTCGGCCACGTCCATTGCAATTTGCAATGCAGTACTACATGCTGCATATCCTTCCTGAACTATTGCTTTTAATAGTGGTTTCTTAGCGTCTGGAAGATGATGTAACAACTCCGTTAGCTTCGAATAATTATCAAAGTTGTGATTTGATAAATGAGCCGAGTAGTTAGCCATACGTAATAGGAGTGTGGCTGAAGAGTAGACCTTTCTACCAAACAGATCCAACTTTTTATTGTCTTTATCGTGGAGCGCACTTCTGTACTGTGGTGCTTTGGTCCTTCGCTGCGCTGCGTCAACCACTAACGAATTGGGCTGAGGGTGGTTGAATAGAAAATCTAACCCCTTCGCCGGCACGAAATATTTCTTATCGGCTTTCTTATTCGTAGGAGTAATCGATGTTGGAGTTTGCCATATCTCGTCCGCCACTTCCATGATCGCGTCGTCAATTGGTAAGGCGATTTTTGCACGCTGCTGTGGGCGGAGGTTCTTTAATAGGCAATGTGTTCTCACTGGAACATCTGCCAGCTGTATTTCCTGCATGCCTGCCACCCGTTTAAACAGGTCCTGGAACTGTTTTAGATCGTCTGGTTGAGAGGGGTCCCTGAAAAGGGACGGGGAGGGAGAGGAGTGGGGGGGGATTGAGTTGAAAGGGATGGCATATCCTGAAACAACTATGTCGGTGACCCAGCGGTCGGTAGAAATCAGAGACCAGCGAAGCTGATAAGGCCTCAGCCGATGATGGAACAAAGCTCTCTGGTCGTATGACGCTCCCAGCAAAGGGGTGGTACGCAGTCCCTCGACCGAGGCATCAAACTTGTTGCCGGCCCTGCTGATGACCAGATGTTTTGCCAGGCTGTTGTCTTCATTTCTGCTGGCATTGTCTTGGCCTCTGGTTTGGCCTCATATGGTTTGGCACAGA